AACATAACATAACATAACATAACATAACATAACATAACATAACATAACATAACATAACATAACATAACATAACATAACATAACATAACATATCATAACATAACATAACATAACATAACATAACATATCATAACATAACATAACATAACATAACATAACATAACATAACATAACATAACATAACATAACATAACATAACATCACATAACATAACATAACATAACATAACATAACATAACATAACATAACATAACATAACATAACATAACATAACCTTACATTACATAACATAACCTTACATTACATAACTTAACATAACATAACATAACATAACATAACGTAACATAAGATACATACATACATACATACATGCCCTAAACCCTAAGCACTAAATAAACAACTACAGAAACATATTGACAAGGAATATCTACATATAACATATGTATACACACAGATATACATACAGCTATATACGCACGCACACACACACACACAGAGCCTTTTTCTAAACCCTAAACCAAGAAGACCCCAGGGGCAGCCCCAGGGCCCAAAAGGGCACGTCTCCTCGAAGTCCCACTGGAACGGTGTTATCCTCGACTCTGGGGCTTTGGGCTTTGGGTTTAGGCTTTAGGGTTTAGGGGTTTCGACTCACACACTCGCACCATGCAGGCATGGCAAAGAGACGTCCCGAGCAGGGTTTTAGGGTTTCGACTCTCACTCTTGCACGCAGCAGGTTTCAGCACTCGCAACTGGGACAAGCCTGGCGAGGTTTAGGGGTTTGGGGGGTTTAGGGGTTTAGGGTTTAGCGGTTTAGGGTTTAGGGTTTCTGTCTTGAGGGGTTACAAGGATTCGACAAGGGCTTTGTAGGTTCGATCGGGAGAGAACCCCAGGTTCAGGGTTTAGGGTTTAGGGTTTAGGGTTTAAGGTTTAGAGTTTAGGGGGCAGTGGAACTTGCAAAGCTTTGGGCTGAACGGCCATGGACCATCGACCTCCCTGCTGCTACGAGGAGTACTTGTAGGGGGGCCTTAATAATTAGAATAGGGGTTTTGGGGCCCAGTAAACTCTATTTATAATGAGGAACCCCCCAAACCCTATTGTAAGTGGCGTATGCACTTCTGCAACACTGCACAACTGTCGAACTTCGTTCGGCAAATTGCAGTGGTCAGCAAGTTTTAGCTCTTTACTACAATGACAAAGTAGATAGATACCTTAACACTCTACACCTTGCAGCTATTTTTGGATTTAATATAGGTTTTAAGGTTTGCGGTGAAGCTACTGCAGCAGCGAAAGTCATGCTGCGTAAAGAATCCCGTGGTCGGCGCTTCGCCGCCAAAACCTAAACACAAAACCATCAACCCTACTGTAAGGGCCTTAATAATGAGAAAAGGGGTTCCTTTAAAGGGATCCTTAAAGGGTGCTAAAAAGGATCCATAATAAGGTTCTATAGTAGGGGCCTTGATAATCAGAATGGGGTTCTGGGGATAAGGAACCCCCAGTGCAATTTAGGTAATTGTTAAGGCCGCTATCTTAACCCAGCAGCTGGAAAGGCAATGGGAGAACCGACGTGGCGCCGAGGATGAAAACCACAGCCACGGCGGCAACGCCAGAAAGAGTAGCCACCTCAGGGGCTAATAGGGGTTCCTTTAAAGGGATCTTGAAAGGGTCCAAAAGGGGATCTATAATAGGGTTCTATATCAACCCAAATTCTTTGGCCTTCGAGGGGCTTCATAGGAGATAAAACTTCAAGGCTTTCTTGGGGCTCGATAGGGTTTAGGGTTTAGGGTTTAGGGTTCAGGCTTTATCATCCTCCTTGGAGTGTATCTGGCTTTGTGGGTTTGATGTAAGGGCCTTGGCAGTCAGATTGTATAAACTTCGTCTGGTGGCGAGACATACGAACACTATAATCACTTGGAGGTTCATGGGTAGTGATAAGTGGAGTTATATGTCGCTTAATATGGCTTATACCTATAGTTACCCTACTTATAAGCCTTCTCACAACTGCCCTAGGACCTCCAAGCAAGAACTTTCAACAATGAATCCTTCCGGCTCCTATATATTAGGCTTTGAAGGCGCTATCGAAGGGGTTCTACGGGGAATTGACGTGCATTTACAGGGGTTGTATAAGGGTCTGCACCCTAAACGCCGCCCCAAGCCCTGCGCTCTAAACCCGTGCCCTAAATCCCTAAACCTGGAATCAAAACTGCTAAGACAAAGAAAGCCAGCCTGCTGGGTTCAATTTTTGAATTTTGAAGAGATTCAATTCTGTTTGGGATTGAAGTAATATAGGGGCCGAAATAATTACGAATACTATTTTGCGGGGCTCCTTATCATAATTATAGTACAACGGGCCCCCCAAAACCCAATTCTAATTATTAAGCCCCCTACACTAGGCCTGCTTTGGCAATCCGGGCCTTCCAGCCAGACTGCAGCAGAAGGGACAGATACTTCCGAAGTCCAGACGTCTGCCAAGTGTGGGAGATGAACACGTCGAAGGAGGACACTTGGGTAGACATTTCCCATAGCCTGGGAACCAGAGCGAGCTTTCTCAGGGCAAGGGCATGTGAGACGCATGCCTTGTGCACGAAACCGTCTCTTTCAGTGAACTCTAACATCCAAACCTTAAGCCCCTGAACCATACAGCCATACAGCCAAAAGCCTTTAAGCCCTAAACGCCAAACTGGTCCTAAACCTTCAACCCTAAAGCATACAGAGAGATCTAAAGAGCACCTGTTGGATCCCTAGGCTGAACCTTGTTGGAGACTTTAAGGTCTCGCGTAGACGGTTTAGGGTTTAGGGTTTAGGGTTTAGGGTTTAGGGTTTAGGGTATCCCTCTCTAGTTTCTTGCTTGCGGCTTTTAAGGTTAAACGACGGTTCATGAGATAAATCCTGCGTTACCCATAATGCGGAATGTACCATATTTCCCATTGTTTAGGGTCCTTAAGGTCATGCAGGATTTAGATCATCAACCGTAAGGCTTAGGGCTTAGGGCTTAGAGCTTACAGGGTTTAGGGGTTTCATGCTTCTCTCTCGGTTGAAAAAATGCCAAAAGTAAGGAAGGCCGTTCCTTTGAACGCCCCTTAGCGGTGTGACGCGAAGCACCCAAACCCTTAACCCCTTTTACACAGGCTTGATTGACCCTAAACCCTAAACCTTAAACCCCCAACACAAAGCCCGTCGAAAGAAGCACCTAGCAGGACCTAGCACAGCTCTGGAAACTTAGACGTGCCCTAAACGGCCCTAAACTCCAATGTTCTCAGACCCCAGGTTGCTTTCAACTTGAATACTTCGGTTTAGAGTTTAGGGTTTTAGGGTTTAGGGTTTAGGGCTTAGGGTTTAGAGTTTAGGGTTTTTGGGGTTTAGGGCTTAGGAGGATCACTCTCGCAATCCTTGACGGGGTTTGTTCATCGGGGTCCACCCTGTTAAGCCCTCCACGGCCGCAAAAATCTTAAGCCAAACAGCAAACCCGAGCCACAGTCTGTCAAAGGACCCTACAGCAAACTCCGGCGACCCTAAACCCTTTTGCAGCAGGCTTCTCTCGCCCGGAACTGCCGTCGCCGTGAAGCAGTGCAGCACATCCTAAACCCTAAACCCGAAACCCAACAAAAAAAGAATCTCCGAGCCGGCGCCTCTCGCGAGAGGCCGGGTCCAAATCCACGGGCGAGGTGCGCCAGAGGTTGGGTCGGCGAAGCCTGGCGCGTGAAGGTGCAGGAGTGTAGGGCTGATGTACAGGGTTTAGTGTTTCGGGACTGTTTCGGGTTAAGGGCTTAGGGCTGGTATAGAGTAATTACCTGTTCTGCAGGATTTCTACCGGGCTTCTACAGGGAACTTTGTAGTTTTTTTTTACAACGGTTTCATTTAAGGGCTCTATAAGCATTCTATAGAGTTCTCTAATTAAGGTATGCGGCTGTAGAGTTTTGCGAGGCGGAATTTAGGGTATGAGGATTTTTTGGATTTGGGGGCTTATGATGTGTAGTGTGTGCGGTTTCCGTTGGCCTAGCTGAAACACTGAGATGCGAGACAAGGGGCGGAGCAAGCCCCCAGGCTACAGAGCAGTGGGGAAGGGGATTGCGGGTTGCTCGGAGTGCACCCGGAAATCTTCCCTCTGAACTTGATCTGGAGGTGCAACAAAGAGGCGCCGTCGCTAGAGGAATAGCACGGAGCAGATGTTTCGATTCATCGTCCACCTGAGGAGTGCTCTCGGGGTTTAGAGTCTAGGGCTCGGACCAGGGTTCAAGAGAGGCTGCTGGGCCTCTCGGGCCATCATCGCTGAGCTTCTGTGAAGTTTCCGGTGCGAGACACTTCAACTGGGCTCTGCATGGAGGCCGAAGTAAGTTGGCCAGCCCGGCCTGCAGAGATGCCATTCTGCCGACATCTTCTGCGATCAAGTCCAGCTGCCCATCCTGCGTTAGAGCTTCAGTTTTTACTGAGGTTCTAGTTCTAGGCAGCTTCATGGGTCCTGGAAAGGTTTGCTGAGGGTTCTAAGACGGTTTTATGGTCCCCCGAAGGCTTGGTAAGGGGTTTTGCCAGGGTTCCAGACTAGCTGATGTCTGTCATGTCGCGCAGCAGTAATACACTTCGCAAACCATGCTCAATTGGACCTTCAACCCTAAAGCCCCAAGAACCAACGCAACAGGTGGGGCCGCTAAAGTGCTCCTTACTCCGTACCGGTTTCGGGGTTTAGGGTTTGGACTCTCGATCTAAGGGCATCCACCATATTAGCAATCATTGTCTGCTCTCACCTACAGCTGGGGATGTCGTCGAGACATGCTCGCTCCGGTTCGGTAGTGCTGCTAGTCATGACCAGCTGTCAACGCTTACTCTAGGTCGTTTTCGACAGTCCTGATGATGCTGTACTCTTACTATACTGCTGCGACGGTTAAGCTTACCACAATTTTGTTGTGTTTCGATTGATAGGGTTGTGGTTGCTCTTGTTGTTGGCAGTGCTGATGGTGCGATCATGGTGTGGGTACGGCGTGTGGTCATCGCCGTATTTGTTCGTGTGGGAACCCTAAACCCTAAACCTTGAAACCCTAAACCCTGAAACCCTAAACCTTGGAACCCTTTTTGCAACAGGCTTTCCACTTCGCCCGGACTTGGAGCAAGCAGCAGCCCTAGACCCTAAACCTTGGAACCCTAATCCCTAAACCTTGGAACCCTAATCCCTAAACCTTGAAACTCTAAACCCTAAACCTTGGAACCCTAAACCCTGAACCTTGGAACCCTAAACCCTAAACCCTAAGCCCATAATTTCCCGTAAACCCTTTGAACCTCGAGGCCTCCACAGGCTCGGAGACGGGCCGCCTCTGGCCGTCCGGATCGTCGCATGTGGGCGTCGCCTCCACGATTTCCTGGGTTCTTGTTACGGGATTTGTCTTAAGTTACCCTTCTAGGGATCTATAGTAAATAACATGGTTTCCTTATTATGGTAACTCAAATCCCCTAACACGAGCCCAGCTTCCTTCGGGGCCTTTCCTGCGGGTCCTGCGCAGCTGCAGGCTTCTTCGTGGCAGTAGCTGGCGCTATGCCCCATGAAGACGGCGACAGAAAACGTAAGTCAGCAATGAGCCACCCTAAACCCTAAACCCTAAACCTCTGTCGTTGTGGCACGCAAACATCAGCTGTCCTACGTGGGTTCAGATAGAATTTCACCGTTGGCTATTGCTTGGGCGATGCTGATGGGTTCGTCGTGCGGCAGCCGCTTCTTGAGCCCCAGGAACACAGCACGTGCACCAGGCTTTGCTCGTGAGAGGACCCCAGTCACGCTCAGGTTCGCTCCAAACAAGTGTAGATGGGAAAATGATAAGAGTGTAAGGGCCAACTAGTAACTAGCTCCAAAAGATAACCACAGAGCAGTTCCCGCACCCTCTTTTCCGCGGCCTTCTCGTTGCTGGCCGACATGGCTTGGGCATTCGGGAAAGGTGCGACTCTGGGGGTCGGATGAAGGTTCGGTGGGGAGGAGGCATGGGTACAAGAGGAACCCTAAGCTCTAACAGAACTCCAAACCCGTGGCGGGGATTCGTGTGGGCTTCTGTTGGGTGTTCTTCACGGTTCTGGCGTTGTCGAACGATCGCCCGGGAAGTTGCTTGAATCGATATACGTCTTAAAGATGCAGACTTGGATCAAGACTCCTTGAGAGGGAGCACTACACACACGCAGACACAGCTGCAGCCAGGCATGCTCAGAACAGGAAGGGTGGGACGGGGTTCTAGAATCTAGAAGCTTGCATATAGTGCCTGTCAGCTGGCAGGCTAGCCGCTACCCAGACCCCGAAAAGGATCTAAAAAACTAGATCCCCTAAGGGGGTTCCTATAAAGTACCCTTTAGTAGTTAAGGTCCCAAATTAGGGGATCTATTTTTTAGATCCTTTTGGGGGTCTGAGTAGCCGACTTCACAAAACAAGCAGATGATCGCCGGGCAGCTCTGTAAGATTCCAGCGGCTGGGCATGGTTCTTGCCATGGGCTCTGAGTGTGGATGATGAGCGAAGCCTGCAACAGAGACGTCCTTAGGAACCCTCAAAGAAATCCTGAAAGGAGCCTGTACAGACAGACGCCTTTTGTGCATTTAATGTGTTTTGGCCTTTGCTGTGGGTCACAAGCGTTGTAAATTCATGACGAAACTGTCAGTTCCTGGTGCTCGCAAGACGGGCAGTCCATCAGAAAATGGCAGCTTCAAAACGGCAGTGTGTGTGTGTGTGTGGAAATCCTAGGCGCAGATGTTGCCCATCTGCTCATGCCAGTAGCTTCAAGCACTTCCGACACCTTCCATGATGCTTGGAACTCGCAAGACATGGACCAATCACGCGGGACGAAACATTTTCTGCCTCTATGTAACCGAATCAGATCTTGACGTTAGAACTGACATTCGCCGACCTTGGTCGCAAGCTGTGAACAAATCCGGATAGGGTGCAGTGCTTCTGTGACTCCCGCATCATCGCCAGCCACAGCAAGCACAGCGCGTTTAGGGCTTCGAGCTTGGAGTTTGCCGTGGAGGAAACCACACCCGTAACTTGGTACCGCAGAACACAACTTCACCTCCCACTCAAAGCTACAGGCTGCTGGACCCACTTCGCAAAGGCCAAATCCAAATCCCGAAGCCTTCAAACCTCGCCAAACGTTCTCAGAGGGCAGGCGCTTGCCTGGGAGGTCGTCCCGGTCCCGATGCAATAGTGCGCACAACCGACCATCATTTCCACCTTCATGGGAAGAGCACGCAACAAAGCAAATGCCACGAGAACCTGCCACAAGTATATATGGGTAGTTCTCTACATAAGGGTCCCTGTTTAGGTCCCCAATATAGTACGGCACCCTTATAAAAAGGACCCTAAAAGGGATCCTGATTGAGAGAACTAGCCATATGGCTATAGTGTGCCGCACAATCGCAAAGATCGGAATCTCAATTCGTTGCAGCCCCAACGAAGCTGAAGCACCTGCGCCGTTGGCAGCTGGGCTGCATAGATGGTGGTCTCGGTTCCCCACCTCGAGCTCGACACTCTCATCCTTGAGAAGTTAGTTGCAGGGGCAGGAAAGCAAGACTGGCAAGGGCCATGCGAACAGGGCTGGAATCTGCGAGAGCAGCATGTTCTACTCAGACTGGACAAGCTTGCATGCTGGCTGGCGCTGTTGGCCTTAATTACACCTCGTTTCTGCACTTGTGGCTGAGCTGGTGCATTGAGGTGAGGTGTTTGTTAAATCACGCCTAGGCATCAAGCTGCGACCAGGTGGGACCGCTTCGAGAAGGCCTCCCTGCCGGCAGCTTTGTAAGGAAAATCGTGGGCGTCATGGGCGCTTCCATACCAAAACTCGGTGCCCAAACATGTAAGCCCTGCATGGTTTCAGTACAAATTTGCGGTGTACTGCAGTAAGCTTAGAAGGGAATTTCCTATAGCAGCCGAAACAAGGACGCCATGGGCATTGGAAGCGCCATTTCACGTGCGAATTGGAGGCTCGCAACCGCCACCACTACTATACGAAGAAAAGGCACCAGTGGTGTGGTTGCCACGCAGATGCAACTTTTTAAAGTTCTTCAAAAACTAAAAGGTATCCGTCTCCACAGGCTCTTTCCGGGGCCTAGAATCCTGTGACTGCTGGCTGCGCTGGGCTTCGTGGATTAACTCGTGAAACTGATGCTTGACCACGTCTCCGATCCATCTCACCATGACCTCTGTGACGTGACCGTTGACATGCCTGAAACCCACCGTGTCCTCGATGATACCCTTCACCTTCGTCTCATCTTCCTTCTTCCATGCCCCTGCATGTTCGGAGTCGACGCGGCTCAAGGATATCGTGATCTCCTGAATGCCCTGCTGGCCGGAAGAGATCTGTTGTTGAACAGATGTCATGGCAGACTCTGGCATCACGATCGTGACAGGTATCTCGAGCGTGGACGCCATGAACTGTTCATACACAGTCCAGATCCTGCTCAGGTACACGGGTTGGTGCCAAGTGTCCAAAATCGCCACCATCTGTCCGCTTCGCTTGAGGCTCTCCTCGAAGATGGTCTCGAGGTTCTCACTGCCCGCAGCTGTCTCTTCGACAATAATTCGGAATTGATTGTTCACGAAAAAGCACATAAAAAAGAACATGTGTTGAGCTGCAGGTGCCGAATGGGAACTCAGGCGGTACATCCTCAATGCACTTTGTACCTGTGAAATCTGGTATCCCCACACCCAAGAAAGGAAGTGTGTCTGAGCTCGCCGCTCATCTTTGGGTATCCAGTCCACAAGCGCACAGCCCATCTTGCCGTCCCGCGGGCACTGAATGTCTTCGCCAATCGGGTCCGCGGCTAGCCAGAAGGCATTCTTCATGTCGTTGAAGGTCGGATCACTCATGCCGGTGCGCTGCCTGGCCAAACTTGTGAACTGCTGAGAGAGGAGGTACCGCATGCTAACTCCCGCGCTCTTGCTTTGACACGCTCGCATTGATGCAACCTCCTTGATCACCTCCGCCTTGTCAACACCAAGCTTCTCCAGGCGGACTGAATACCTGCTACTGCTAAGGCACACAAGCCCCAGTTCAAATGCCATGCCAAGGAAACCCTCATGGGCGCACCCTGTGGTATTTCTCCTTCTCATTTTTTCTCCGTCCTCCATCCACGCTCCTCCCTCCTCCGCCCTCCTTCCCCCTTCCTCCTTCCCGCCTCCCTCTCTCCTCCTCCCTCCTCCCTCATCGCTCTTCGCTCCTCGTATTGCTGCTACTACTACAATACAACAAAACCACCACCACCGACTACTACTACTACTGCTGCTACTGCTGCTACTGCTGCTACTGCTGCTACTGCTGCTGCTACTACTACTACTACCTACTACTACTACTACTACTACTACTACTACTACTACTCCTACTATACTACTACTACTACTACTACTACTACTACTACAATTACTACTACTACTACTACTACTACTACTACTGCTTCTCCTACTACTACCAGCCTACTACTACTACTACTACTACTACTACTACTACT